CCCCAAAACCCCAAAACCCCAAAACCCCAAAATGTTAAAAATATATTGTTTATTCAAAATATATTTAATTTTATTAAGAAAAAGGGGAATTGTAAGACTATTATGTTTGTCCTTGCTACTGCTATCAAATTCAATGAATAGGCATCAAACTAATGTGCTATAGAATGTCTAAAAATAAGAAGCAAAAGGTTATGAAAAAGAAAAAACAAAAGAAGAAAGTCAATATTGATGAAATATTTAATCCTCCTTCTTTGAAACTTAATGAAATGCAAGAAAAGGCTAAAATAACTAGTGATAGCATCCTTGCTCAGCATTTTACAGTCACTCATGGTCATAAAGCTTGTGTTGAATGCCAGAAGATAACTAAATCGTTGAAGATTACTCAACTGCTGAAAGAAGCAAATCTGCACCCCAATGCTCTTGAGTACCTCAAGCATAAATACCCTTTTGGATGTAGTCAAAATTTTCGAGAAGCTCCATTTGGAGCTTCTATGGTGACTAATGTACCAAAAACCATTCTGTCTATGCTTGAAGGAGCCATTACAAAAGTCAGGCCTTTATTTTTAAAGAATGAAGTTCATATCACAGGTATAATACATCATTAAAATTTGAGTTCCTTCTAAATTTCCTTGTCATACACTTACCCACTATATTTAGATCCAGATAACTCAATCAAGAAATTCAGGAGACAACTGACTAAGAGGAAACAAGATCCACATAGTTGCTCTATTGAAAGAATTCTAGACAACAAACAGTCCAAGGATAGCTTATTACCACAAATCCAGCAGGACTATCTTCTTGAAAAATCTGAGCTCATCCAGAAGTTAACAGTAAAGGATGAAGTCAAGAAAATGATTCTAGGGAAGCTTGTTGGACCAGCTATTAAAAAGAAGAAATCTATAAAGCAACTTGAAGAATCTTCTGAACAAGAGCCTCAAGTTGAAATCCAAGAGAACTTAGAAGCATCTGAGCAGCAGATTTTGCACAGAAAATTAGAAATACAAAAGAAATATAGAGAAAAGAGCGATCAGAGGGCCAAAAGAATTAAGCAGCAAGAACAAGAAATCAGTAAAATAAGAGCTTCATGTCCTCTGTTTGCGAAACTTAAAGAAATTGGTGAGCCTTCTGAAGCTATAACGCATAGATCACAAATTAAAATAAAGAAGAGGTTGATCGGATTTCCTCAGTTATGAGCCATAAGAAGCCAAGAGTATCACCCCATGGTGAAATACTGAAGCATATCTCGAATTATAGTGCACAGAAATAGCAAGATGATAGCTAGATTCAGGGAGAAAAGACTGTCTTCTTACCCAATAAAAGGGACTAGGAATCATGCATATTCGTCAAATTCCAAGACAGTTATTTCAAAATTTAGAAGCACAGCTTTGGCATGGAAGGAGAAGATGGAGAAATACTCTACTGCTATCTGTATGAATTGAAAGTCTGGGCTTGATTAATGGTTACTTTTTCAGTTACGAGTTTTTCTAAAGATTTTTATAGCCAATCAGAAAAAGCGCAAATGGTATGGTGAAAAGGTCAAGAAGGAAATTCCCATAAAGATTTCAGAGATTAAACGCAGAGAGATGGGTAAATTATAAAGCAAATGGCTCTCCAAATGAAACCATCAATTGACCAAATTAAAAATTTGGTCAAAAGAAAACCGTATTTCTGTAAGTTAACATTCTAGGAATATGCTACTAAAGCCAAGAAGGAAGAGAAGATATCAGTTAAATGAGAAGACAACAGGTAGTCTTTGTAGTTTATGGCATAGAAAATAATAGTAGTTTTTATGAAAAATTACCTTCAGACACTAATTCTAATCTGGACACTAAGTCTTCTAAAAATCTTCTTTTCACACAAGAGCCATCAAAACGTCTAAACCTTGACTTATCTTCTAAAGGGATTTTCCAAAAGAACAATCTCTTGAAGAAGCCAGATAGGAAGAAGCTAACAACTACTACGAAAGATCTGAAATCTCAGGCTGAACTTCTTAATTGAACACCTGAGTATACTTCTAAGGAGAAAAGAAGTCTTCCGTACAAATCAAGGCTTTGGAACAGTGAAATTTCTTCAGGAAATAGAAGTGGAGGCACTTCTTTCCTCAATAAGTCACTGGACTTACAGAAGAGAGTCCGGTTCAAAGAACAGCTGACTAACTCCCTGGACGCCCTCCGGGGCGGCCAGGAAGTGAATGAGATGTTGATCGACTGCATACTCTATAAGGTAAAGTTTCTCAATGAGCTATAATATCTTATTTCAACTATCTTGATGGCTGAAGGGGTTTTGGGGTTTTGGGGTTTTGGGGTTTTGGGG